GAGAAAGAAAGAAAGAAAGAAAGAAAGAAAGAAAGAAAGAAAGAAAGAAAGAAAGAAAGAAAGGAAAGAAAGAAGGAGAAAGAAAGAAAAAAGATTTCAGTTATCTCACTTTTCAACACGTAGCTCTCTAGGGACTTCGGTGAATATTATCTTAACTATTAGAAATTGATGGAAACAAGGAGTAGGATTAGAAAACTGTTGTCAAAAAAAATATTTTTGAAATGTGACCTCAATGTTTAAGACTATAAACTTGAATCCAATGAAAAGTATTTTTTTATTGCAGAAGAGACTTTAAGACTATGTTCTTTTACTTGTCTTGACCAAAAATCCACACCCAATAAAGGGAAATGAATAGGTAAGGGTAGGAAAAAATTGAGAAAAGAGTGAACAAGTAGTATTTTTATATAATAAAGGCTTTTTGTTATCATTATTTATTTTCCCTGGAGACCAAGCTATTTAGAAAATGCTCTGTTTTTGTGCCCCCAGGAGTCAGGATTGATTTGAAAAACTTTTATAGATAGACGATAGATAGATGATAGATAGATTGATTGATTATATGTGATAAATGATAGATGATAGCTAGACAATAGATAGAGCGAGAGAGGGAGAGAGAGATACAGCTTAAAGGCGAGGGTCTGCAAGCTGGTGGCAGAGTTATGAACAAAGAAGGCAATGAAGTGCAGCTCTTAGAAACCAAACGTTATTGCTGCTTTCTCCATCTGTCTGAAGAGGAGTGAAACGACTTCCACTGTCCTCCAGGAAGAGGGAAAAGAGGCAGAAGCGTTCAAGTGGGAAGGGAAATTCACTGTGATCATCTCCAGTTTTAATATAAAATGTACTTGGCCCCAAATAGCCTATGATGTCATATCAGAAATTGAAGGCCATGTCATTTTAGCTATGATTTTTAAAAGACTGTCCAAGGTAAGACCTCATTTTAGCTGTGATTTTAAAAATGCTATGTCCAAAACAAGACCAAAGTCTTGAGATAGTCACATCAAATTTGTTCTACTGTCATTTTTAAAGTGTCCTAACTTGTTTGAAATGTCTGTATATTTTTGATGCATTTAAAAAATTTTAATTTTTATTAGTACAGGTTTGCAGTACATAGTGATTACATTCATTGTGGCAAGTTGGTACGTCTACATAATGTGTTTTAATTCTTTTTACTTCTCTTTCTCCTCCCTTCTCAGATAAAAAACACTAGGAAATATTTTTTTCCTGAAAATTGCCACTGTTAAATTACTTCCTCACCTCAAGAATGTTCCTTCATTTAAATACTAGAATTATATACCAAGATTCTAGCTAAGAAAGAATATAAGTATTGTAATACTCATAATTTTAATCCATAGTAAAATTTGTGTGTTAACTGTGACAACACAACTTGGTGTCCCTGCAGTAATTTAGATCTAGAAACTAGAGAAGAATCAAACAGGATCCTGTTTCTCACAGCATTTTGAATGAGACAGGGATATGTTCTTTAGCAAAAGAAATTTGTCTTGTTGATTACATAAGTTACATATTTTCAATAAAACGTTTCACTGATAAATTTAATTTTCCTTTTGTTCACATTTGTTATAATAATTGGTTTCATAAAAATACAATGAGCATAAATTACTTTTAAATATATGGAGAGGGAAGAAGGTCAGCAGTAATTGATCTATTTTCTTTAGTTTTCAGATATTATAGAGGCAACACCCTCCTGAAAGGACAGAAAACAGAAACAGCAAGGGGGAAAATCACCCATAATTCCTCTACCCAAATTTAACTACTCTCGCCATCATTAACATTCGTATGTATTCCTCTGGATTTTTAAAAAAATATTTTAATTATGAAGTCTAATGTACATACAGAAGAATGCCTACAATTTCTACATAGTTTAATAAATAGTTAAAAAGTGATTGCCAGGGCTGAGGATGTAGCTTAATGGCAGAGAATTTGCTTAGCAGTCTTAAAAGTCCTGAGTTCAATCCCCAGTACCACAAAAAATAAAAATAAGTGCTCAATGCACTGCTACCCAGGACAGGAAAGGAGACATCATTGAAAGCTCCTGCTTAGCCCTTCCTCTGCCCACATTGGTCACCACTACCCTGATATTTATGGCAGCCCGTCCCAAATTTAACATCTATCACCCCATCGCCACCTGTAATTGTACCCCTGAATCATATACTTTAAATAACTGTTTTCTACTTTGTATAAAAGTACTTACAAATGTGTTTTCTTTTGTGCTTTACTTTTTAAAAAACTTTAATATTATAAGACTCACCTGTTATGCCAATATACAACTATGCCACAATTTATTTAGTGGGTATTAAGGTTGTTTCCAAGTTTTAGATACTATAAATAAATAAATAATATTTGTATGTATGTCCTGGGTACGGGTAGCCAGGTGTTTCCTTTGGAGTATAATGGGTTGTCATATGCATGAGTTGTAATCATATTTGAATATTTTAACACCATTTTCAGGCTTGGCATATGATTAAGTGGTAGAGCACTTGACCAGTATGCACAAGGCCCTGGGTTTAATCCCCAGTACCAAAAGTCACTTCTAGGAAGTATTTCCATGATTTCATGATTTGACATTTATAATAGCCATCCTTTTAATCATTCCATCATTTTAATTGAAAAATTATACTCCATTTGTGGCTGAGTTAGTTTATTTAACCAGTCCCCATATCATTGCTTCTGTCTTTCTTTTTGTAATGAAAATGAGACTATGGATCCACTTGATGGTTTACAGGTAGATCTTATTAAGTATGATTTATTCACTGAGACTTATTGTTCACATATGATATCTCTACTTTCCTACATGTGTGATATACAAGTTGTATATTCCTAATCCAAAAACTTCAGTACCTGAGCACCAACATGACAGCACAACTGGGAACTCCACACTTGACTTCATGTGATGGGCTACCTTTAACCCGTGTTTATAAGGCATATATATCAAAACATAAGTGAATTTAGGGTTTAGACTTGGTTCCCATCCCCATGATACATAATTTTGTTTTATGCAAAGATTCCAAAATCTGAGATTCTTCTGATTCCAATTATTTCACATAAAGGATACTCAACCTGAACTTACATTAAAAAAAAGAAAAAACTCCAGTGAATGCTTTTGATCGTAATATCTTTATATTTAAGATAATGTCATTAGCATAAATTACCCAAAGGAGAATTAAATGATTAAAGGGTAGAACAGTCATATTTTGCAGCTTGTTTTGTTTTTTTTTTTTTTTGGTAATAAATCTACTTTGCATTCTAATTTGTTTGTAATAGTGATACAAAATCTTATATCTTGTAATAGTTAGAAATCAGACCTATGGGACTGGGATGTAGCTCAGTGGTAAAGTGAGTGGTAGAGTGTACATGAGACCCTGGGTTGGATCTCTAGAACTGGAAAAACGTCAGACAATCTCACAAGTTATGGTCTCGTACACAAATAACTTTTTTTCCATAATATTTAAACACTCATTTAAAATAATTTTTAGGAAATTATTTCTTTTAAAAGTGTGATGAATGTTTGCCCTGCCAGGGAAATCCTAGAATTCAGCTTAATCTTTCTGTCAAATGTTCAAGTTTTATCTGTGCAATTCTGAGGTAAAAGGAAATCAAAATGTCATATTTTCCAAAGTCTGCTCTTCAACATTTCCTTCTTTTCTTCTTTTGAAAGTAATTGTAGAGTTTCTCCATGTCCTACACTACCTGGCAGGCCAATTAAACCTTCTAATGTGCTTTGATTCAGGAGCCAAGGTTGCTAAGAGACCACTTGAGTCGAGTGCACTTTGGTGTAGCAACAGCAGACCCAGCAAAGACCAAGGAGCTGCCACCTCCTACCACCTGGGTTTCATTCAGGTGAGAAAGGGTTGCCAATCTGTGCCCACCGCCAACTTCTCCCTCTCTGTTTGTGGAGAGCATTGAAGGTAACCCTGGGAACACAGGCTGAAGAAAAACCCACACTCAAGGTTGAGGCCACAGAAGGGGAGGAAAGGCATTTGGCAAACCCATGCATCATTCTTGCTTCTTGTTGGTGAAACACAGGCAAATGTGTTGAATGTAGGGAAAATTTCAGATGCTTACTTTGCCAGTGATTGCTGTGTAATTTGGGGCAAGTCATGCCTTCCTCTAGGAACAGAACAAGTTATGACAAAGATTAATCAAAATAAGACAACACTAGCAAAATTTTCATGTTTCTCTCTCTTACTCCTGTCTTAAAACTAAACCTGCCTTTTTTATTTTTTTGTTTTTGTTTTTGTTTATACTGGAAATTGAAACTCAGGTCCTTCACACTGAGCTTCATCCCCAACTCTTTTTATTTTTTATTTATTTTGAGACAGTCTTGCTAAGTCCTCAGTTGCCCAGGCTACACTTAAACTTGTAGTCCTCCTGCCTCTGACTCCCAGAGTGCTGGGATTACAGAAAAGGAGGTTAAGAATTATTCTAAACCCTGTGTCTGACAGACACTCAGTAAAATATTCTGACAGTGTAGAAAACTAAAATTAAAACCTTAAAAAAATTAGCTATTAAAAACAATATACAAAAGCTATTTCTGTAACAGAGATGTGGAGTAAATCAAACATTGATGTTATATTAAGTGATCAAACCATGAGAAGATCTTTAGGAAATATCAAGAAAATGTAAAAAATCTTTTGTTGTTTATTTTTTAAAAAGTTTGGTTACTGCCCACCTTTTCCCATGTCTTTAAATTCTCACTTCTTGGTATACCACTAATCGTACAAGTTAGAAGAGAATGGAGACTTCACCAATGCCAATAAACATGTTTAACTGATAAGTGGTTGCAGGTACTTTATAAACTACTGATAACAAGAAAAGACAATGGCCATTATGAATGTTTCTTGAGCTAGCTCTTAATAAAAGGCAAGTTTAGGACTGGGGATTTAGCTCAGTGGCACTGTGCCTGCCTTGCAAGTGCAAGGTCCTGAGTTCAATCCCCAGTACTGGCGGGTGGAGGGGGGGAGCCAAGTTTGGCATATGAAAAAGCCTTTGACTTTGACCCAAAGTGGTCAAAACAAGTGAGAGAAAAACAGATTAGTTTATTGGTTGGTTAAAAAGAACTGCAGAATATTCCCCCTTCATCAGTATATTTTTATAATACAAATGTTAGATTGAGTTAAAAGAATCAGAATTATAAATGTATTCATTTGAGTAAACTTTTCTCTTTTTGCCCCCAATAGACAGCAGGAGTATTCTGAACATGACTGGTAAAACCTGGATATTAATTTCTACCACCACTCCCCAAAGTCTGGAAGATGAAATTGTGGGAAGACTACTAAAAATCTTGTTTGTTTTATTTGTTGACTTAATGTCTATTGTGTATGTTGTTATAACCTCTTAGAAAGCTCTCTGCTTTCTATATACATTTCAAATTGAATTCTGGTGAATTAAAAATGTGTATTTTAATATACTGAGTGATGTTAATTTGATATTATCAATTTGTTCTACAATCCAACAGGACATTATAGTAGAAATAATCTTGTATATTAGTTAATACTTCATGGTTTATAATTAATGTTCAAATAAATTGAAGTGAAAATTTTTCTCCCAAAGGATCTATATTACTGAATCATAAAGTTTTTTAAAAATGTTTTAAAAATTTTTTTAAATGTTTTTAAAAAACATTTATTGGTACATTTTAGGTATACATAATGATAACATTTATCATAGGGAATTTGTACCTCATAAAATTTAATTTTAAAAACATTACTGTTATTTGATATACTGACTGAAATTTGCAGGTGAAATTGATATATACCTATTGAAATGTTGTATCATTCTATTTTTAACACACCAAGCTTAATATCTCAGAAGACCATAAAGTATTGTTATATTGTATGTAAAGATTGTGCATTTTCTTATACACATATTTCATCAGTTTGTAGGTAGACTTTTTTCTTATCCTGGGTAATTTAAAAATATTTCTATTAACAAAAACTTAAGCATGAAGAATACAAATACCTAAAAGAGACTGTTTGGGAAAACAATTTATAAGAAGAGAGGTAAAACAAGAGTATAAAATATAGCCTATGCTAACTTCCTATTTGGGATTAAATGCTCACTGTATGTCATATTATATAAATCTTATAGTAGTCCTAGGAATCAGGTAAGTAGTGCCCCCACCCCGACCCTCTTTACTCATGAAGAAATTAATCTTGCAGGAATTTTGCCAGTTTGATACCATAAATAAGCAGCAAAACTAGATTTTAAGCCTTCAATAATCCATAATATTATATTCCCTCCAAAGGTAAATATTAATACATTAGTAAGATTAGTTAAAAACCAATCTCTAGAGTTCTTTTTTTCCCAACAATAATACAATTTTCACATCTCTATTGCTGTATTTAGGATTGCTTCTGTTTACTTAGTCTGCATTTTAAAATCTATCATGAATAATCTGTCCAACCTGACAATGCATTCTTGTCCTGTTTTCTTAATTCCCTAATTTTCTGACAGTGTTAAAATATAACTGTGGAACTGCTTTTTAAGCTTCTGAAAAGCAAAGACCATTCTGTCCTTTAGACTTTTTGATTTTTTTTTATACTGGGCACACATGCCTAACAAAAATCTGATTCCTTCCATGGGATGACTGTCTTCTCAGATTTGGCCCACACATTAATGCAAGGTTTTCTAAGGAACCTAATGAAGTGTGAAAGGAATTGGACCTTTGAGACATATTCCTTAACTACCTCTTACCTAACCTTTCAGTAGTGTTGTATAATCAGCCATAAAACAAATAGAGTCAAACTGGTCATTAATTAAAAACTATAACAAAATCATATGCTTTTTCAATGCTACATTTTCACAGCCTTCCTCTCACCTCCCATTGATAAGATGTGTTCCTCCCCAACCCTCTCCAAATGGGGTTTGATGGAGCCTGTTGTCAGATCAGTGATAGATGAGTAAAGTCACTTGAATCTTGACACAATTGTTTTTTCTGTGAGTTTCCATGCAGTAGATAATGTGAAAAGAAGCACTGAATCTGATGCTAGACTGCATTGGTCCAAGCCTTTGATAGCCCTTTCTCAAATTCCTTACCTAAGCAATGAGTGTCTATGACCTAGGTTTGTGGAGAAGATGACATGAGATGACAGATGCAATGTGCTTAGCACAGTTCCTGGTGTATGGAAAACCCTCAATTTTTGGTAGATTACTGTTACTATCCTCAACTGATTGCAGAAGTGGTGTGTCCACCTTCCACTGAGTCTTAGCGAGCCTCGCTGCCCTGGGCTATCCTGCACTCTTACGCCTTACACTCAGAATAACCTTACTTAACTTACTGGCCCAAGGATGTGATTAGGTTCCACTGGAACCTTGACATCAGGAAGGAGTGCTGCTGGTCTAAACTGGTTGACTCTGCAGGGCTTCTTTCGGTTGTTATTTTTTTAACCTAGCAATTACGACTATGTATCATAATATGACTTGAGAGAAGGAAAAATGTTTGATAAGCATCATTTTAAATAATCACAGTTGTAACGTTGTAAGCATTGTGGCTTTTTTTTTTTTTTTTGAGGCACTAGGGATTGATCCCAGGGCTTTTGCACTGGACTTTTCATAATTTTATTTTGAGACAGGGTTTCAATAAACTG